ACTTATTTCTTTACATATACATGAACATGTAACGAAGAACATATATACAAAAGCAGCCGCATGTATAAATAGATATACTAAGATATTTCCACTGAATATATATATTCGGTCATTCATATTTACACCCATAATTACACAGGGTCATAACGACTTGCACAGCTATAAAAGAATTTATGTCTTGTTGGAATATTATAGCCATAATTTCATAAAATTTAACTGCATGCGCCTGGTTGACTTAACAATTGTGTTGAATTCTCCTTAATTTTATTTTTGACGAGTTAGTTTATATTAGAATTGGTTTTTGTGCTCTGCCTTATTTAATTAAAATGATAACTGTTTAGTGAATTAATATACATTTTATATCAATTATTTCTTCGTTTTCATATTGTAATTAAGTAATATTAAATATCTATATTCCTCTATACTGCTAAAATGTTATGAATGGTATATATAATTCTTAAACATATGTCTGTTGTTATTTAAATAGGTTGAGAGGAGTTCTAATTTCAGTCACGGCTTTAACGTAATAAATTTAGATCAATTAAACAATGCCTTGTTTCTATGGAGCAACAGTGCTTACTTATTTACAAGTCCTCTTTAGTTTACAAGAAAGAATAGCATTTTAGCTGCCCTGTTCCCATATTTAAATGCCACCAGATTAATTAAGTGATGTCATTTATAACAAGGTTTTTATGTCTGAAATTTAATTACAGTTCATTATCTACTTACATATACAATAGAACATTTAGCCTCTTTCTTTCCTCCAATTTGGACTCAAACCCTTAATTTCTATGATATTTGTATTTTTCAGATTATAAAGTCTGTATATTGGACAAAGTTACGACAGGAGAGACTTCCAATTTCAAGACCCTGGTTACCGTGAGGTAGGTTAGAATAGTTAATCACTTAAGCTATATGTGCGAACTGTCAATGTTTGATGGGGTATGAAATTATAAATGAAGGAAAATATATACTGGTAGTTTCTGTAGCAAGATATTTATTTCTAACAGATATTGTAACAACTAAAGTAAAATCACAGATACAGTTATAATACTACAATAAGATAAACAGTTGGTGGACGGAAAAATGATTATTACATTATATCACGTTTCGGAATAAGCCAATTAATGAAAAAGGCGGGAAAATTGAATTTAACACATTTCACTTATTTTTGTCAACATTTCTTGAGAAAATATGAAACAAACATTTGTCTTTTCCCGAAAATTAGTTTGAATAATCACACTAAAAGACAACAAGAATGGATCGTCGTGAATCATCATTAATTAAATTCCAACAATTTACCAGCAGTTTACTCAAGTGGGAGGATAAAAGAACATATATAACAAAATAATTCATGCAAGAATTTTCTATAAAATCAATCATTAGGTACGTTACATGTAATAGAAATATAATAATAATGATTTTATAGAAAACAAAAACTCTCCCAAAACTAGATAATTTCTGATCACATTGTACTGTATATAATATAACTCCTATAATCAAAGTATATATAATCATTACAACTCTTGGCTGATTTTTAATAAAAAATCACAGTTTTCTTTTTAATAATAAAACATAAATAAAGAACTATCTACATCATGTAAATAAATTTTATAGATAATTTTCTGTAGAATGGAATGGACGGATTTTCATATACATTTGTAAGTAATTTTGATACATATATCACAGATGACAAAAAAATTGATGCACAAATAAACATGTACATGATATTATATCAATAACATATAAAATAAATATATCTAATCAATTTAACTTTTATTCAGTTAACCATGCTTTTATCATGGATTTCCTCAACAATTTGTACTCTTTAATTACAAATATAGTGTACATTTTCGAAAAAAAAAAAAAATCATATTATTTTGGTGCTTATCTTTCAGGTCCTTTTCCCAGAATATAATTACAATACTAAATCATGACATTTGAAAAAAATTCAAAACAAAAAAATATAATGGGAGACAAAATGTACAAATCATATCATATAATCACCCAAGAACACACTGCGTGCATTAAAATAAAGTCATCATGAACAACAGGAAACAGATAGAAAGGTGTCTATGTAAGAAACACTACTGCACTATTTTTACCAAATAAATTAAGTTTATACTAACAAAATTAATAATAATTATGACAAATATCTAATGACTATAAATTTCAAAATCTTTACAAAATTATATAAAAAATAAAAAAAGTTAATTCAATTTAATATCTCATCTCACCCAAGCATAAGATACAATGTATTATCTTGAAATACCATGCTAAAAAAATTCTTAATGTAAAAGACAAATATTCATAAACTTACATCAATTAATGCATATAAAAATATAATAAATATCTTCAGAGAAAATTGAGACTTGTTGTTTTTCATGTATTTTTATCAAACATGTATGTCCAGAAAAAATGATAACGTTATTTTAATATGTCACACTTAGTATATTACTTTGTCGCTGAATATTTTGTTGATTATTATCACATATTAATGTCACAAAGTTATTTTCATGATAGTTTATTTAGTATCGCACAATAACGCCACACCTCGTAGCGTCCAGTGATCGGGATTTTGATTTGTCTTCAGCAACACTGAGGCAATGAAGGTAAGGTCGGTTCTTCGTGGTTTCTTGTAAATTGGAAAAAAACGTACATCCCTCGGATCTGCTCCGCCTGTGCTGTTAATTGCGTAAAATGTGTATGACGGGCATCAACTCAAAGAGGACCTTCGGTTTTTGACTCGATAAGTTTGCAGCCTCGCTTGTCCCAACCGCTCCCTCGGAGGTACAGTCCATACACGTACACACCCCTCCGATGGTGGCGACGTGATGTCATCTTTCATGTTTCTTGTGACCTCATTATAGAACAATGACAGTATCCAGTGCCCAGCCCTTGTGTGCTCTTGTCACTTCCTGTTGATAGTGAATAAATCAATTTTAAAATTTGAAATCGCATGTCACTTAAGCATAATATCTTGACAATAAAAAGTTTGAGGTATTTATCAGATACTTTGTTCGAGGTATTATCAGATACTTTTAAATATACATATAAATGAAAGTATGTTTATGGGATTTTTGACTTCCGTAATTTCACACATTCTGCTTACACATTTCTAAAAAATTGAATGAAATGAAGAATTATAAAAAAAATAATAAAACAGTAATTTTTCAATGACACAGAAATCTCATTTTATTTTGCCATTTGCCTAATACATACAAAAAAAGAGACATATTGCAGTTTCACTTAACATATTATCATTTAATTAAAATATGGATTTTTTTTTATAAAAATACAGATTTTTGTATTAATAAGTGTGAAATATTAAATGTAAGTCAAAGGGCCAGAGTGATTTATCAAATACACTACCTGTCTCATGCTGTAAGGAAGCCCTGGGCATTGAAGAAAACCAGTCATCCAGGAACGTGTTAGGACGGGCGGCCCTCCAAAGCACCATGCACTGAATTGTGTGTTTCGGTCAATTAACTCAGTAAACCAGAAACCAAGGGTACTTGAAGTCCAGGAAATCTGAAATTGTAATGTTTGATACAATGAGTACTTGGGTGAACATAGCTTTTCTTCCTTTTAGGTTTGTCTCACATACTAACAATGATCGTGTATAGCATGAATCTAACAAAAATAAACAAAATCAAAGCAGAACTGCCCTAGTGTTTTGAATATTATGGGCACGAAACCCCCAAACATTTATGGTTTTACACTGCTTTACTTCTTCAAAGCACACCACCTTAGTGCAAAAAAGGGTAAACTCTTTGTATAATTTAAAAGAAGTTAATGCACTAAGGTTACAAGCAGTTTATTTTAGCAAAATGAAGCTTGTTAAGTCCAACTTTATATCTGCAGAACTGAGAAATAAAATTACCTTTGCCCAAACTTTGGGTATTCTAGCATCATTACATGCTGTCAAGGGCATCTCTCAGATTCTCACTCATAATGATGGTACCGTCAATTGCTAGTTTAAGATCATGCAGCGTAGAGCGGACTATCGATATTACACGCTGCATTCTGTCAATTTCCTGTCTCAGGAAAATGTTCATTGGCTGTAAAAAGGACCCATTTTCTGAAGCCTCTGTTTCACCTCAAAGTCGAATGTAGTCACTGGGAAGTTTTTCCAACATGTCATCGCAAATTCTCGTAACGATTGACTCACGAGTCTCACCAGATCCACCACTACTATCCTTTGGCTGAATGCTCAATACTGTGTCCAGAATGACCTTGGCTGTCTTGCTTGAATACCTGCATAAGTTAAAGGTAAGATTGCAATTAGTTCAGGTCAGTTTGTATCAAGTTTTAATATTTGTACACACTTGATAATAAAAATTTTAACACTCCATGCACAAGATCCATTCTAAGGGAAACTAGAAATGTGTCATCATGCCACGGATGCCCCCGCATGCAGCCAAAATTTCAGATGGTGCATTAATTATTTTTTTCATTTTAAGTTCAAAGCCCTTAAAACTTTAAAATGTTAACACAAACAATTTTCATACAATGTTCAAGACACTGAAATTATTCAGTCTTAACCTTTTAAAAATAACATATTTCATATTTGTAGCCAAAATAATGGCTAAAAGTATGAGTGCTGAAACTGAAAGTACAAAATTTTTCCAACATTCAGGAAAGATAAGTTTGTCTAAAATCATTGAACCACAACCAAATTCATACTTAAACTGCTTATTCCTAAGATGTATCTATATTATTTTCAAAGTGAAAGGGACATAACTCTGCAAAAAAAATCATCAAACCCTGACCAAATTTCAACTTGACCTGCCCATTCCTTTGACATATCCATATGTCAAATTTAAGTTGAATATGTAACACTGTTGGGTAGATAATGAACAGAAACTGTAAATTTCATATTATTTTCAAAGTGAAAGGGGCATAACTCTGCCAAAAATCATTGAACCATGACCAAATTCCAACTTGGCCTGGGCATTCCAAAAACATATCCATATCTGTTGGGGAGATAATAAACAGAAACTGAAAATTTCATATTACTTTCAAAGTGAAAGGGGCATAACTCTGCCAAAAATCATTGAACCATGACCAAATTTGAACATGACCTGCGCATTCTTTTGACGCATCCATATGTCAAGTTTGAGTTGAATGTCTTGTACTGTTGGGGAGATAATGAACGGAAACTGAAAATTTCACATTATTTTCAAAGTAAAAGGGGCATAACTCTGCCAAAAATCATCGAACCATGACCAAATTCGAACTTGGCCTGTATTTTCTAATGACATATCCATATGTCAAGTTTGAGTTGAATGTGTTGTACCGTTGGGGAGATATTAAACGGAAACTGAAAATTTCATATTATTTTCAAAGTAAAAGGGGCATAACTCTGCCAAAAATCATCGAACCATGACCAAATTCCAACTTGACCTGTATTTTGTCATGACATATCCATATCTCAAGTTTGAGTTGAATGTGTTGTACCGTTGGGGAGATAATGAACGGAAACTGAAAATTCACATTATTTTCAAAGTAAAAGGGGCATAACTCTGCCAAAAAATCATCGAACCATGACCAAATTCGAACTTGGCCTGTATTTTCTAATGACATATCCATATGTCAAGTTTGAGTTGAATGTGTTGTACCGTTGGGGAGATAATGAACGGAAACTGAAAATTTCATATTATTTTCAAAGTAAAAGGGGCATAACTCTGCCAAAAATCATCGAACCATGACCAAATTCGAACTTGACCTGTATTTTGTCATGGCATATCAAATACTTGAAATAACTGTAAAAGTTTAACTTGTGCATTCTTTTCTCACATAATTCAATTACTTTCACATATTTATCACTCATTCAACAATTCTTATAAATTTGGACCTTTGGACATTCTGTATGTGTGAACTGATACATATCCCTTATTGTAAGATAAATCTACAGCCAGATTTGACGGTTTTAAAAAATGCATTGCCCTTAGGCTCTACTAGCCGAGGCATCTTATCATTTGTACTTGTTTTACTTGGTCAATACCTTAACCCATATCTTTGTATCCCATTCACAATAAACACTTAATTGGTGGCATTGAAAGAAAGCTTAAAAAATAGTTTACATTAAACAACAAAAACAACTAAACTCATCCCTCAAAAACTGTTGTAAAACTTACGTAATGTCAGCATTTGGATGCAGTCCAAACACCTCTGTGGTGTCTGTGTTATTTAGAGCATTGATGAACTCCATGTACTCTCCGATCTTTGTACATTTAGGTATAACATAGCCCTTGTAAAACACAAATGTCGGGCTGAACATTGGTTCACCAAACCATACTTTACAGAATGTGTTGAGCAAACGCTTGTCAAAGTCATCAGTGACACGCCCACCATACTGGATCTCACCAAACATGTAACGTACACATGTCCAGTTGACTCCCTGTAAAAATAATTATTTGAGAATTTAATTAATAAAATCTTAATCATCTTAGTTCAAATACACAGAAATATTTAAGTTAACTTCATAATGATATGAAAATGCTTATTTGATTCTACATTATTTTGTTAAAAAAAAATCCAAAGAATAAATCTTAAAGTCAAAACTTTGAATTAAGTCCATTGCTCTCTTAGCAGAGTGTTTTGGCAATCTTATTTTCAAATTACTAGTAAGTATGCTGTCTTGGTAACAAAGAGATTCTGAAAACTGCTTGAGAATTTTATTACTGAAACAAATCATCTATCTAATTTAAAAAAAAAAAAGAAAGAAAGAAAGACAGAGCTATAATGTCATAACAGAAGTACTAATATGCATATTTAGAGCCTAGCCTGCAAGAAGCCAAGCCATTTTACATGCTGGTTGCTGCTCAATTTTGAAATGAAAACCCTTAAAAATTCTTATAGACATTACCAAAATCAAAGCAGGTAAGTCAATTTAAACTCAACAGGGTTTTAACAACTAACCTTTTTAAGATCCATGTCGTCTAAGTGATTCTGTACAAACTGTACACTGGCATTAAAATCTGCAGCATTAAACTCGTATGGGATATTCCAACCAAGGGGTCCAAACTTCCTACGCTCCTGTACGACTGTATGCAAGAAAGCTACACCATACAGCATTGGCTTCCACTGTGGCATGTTGGAGATATCCAAGAAGTCCTGAGTCATGCCAGCATATGATCGTTTTATACCTGCCTTAATACCTTGTGGGGGTTCATTAGTGAACTTGATGGAACACTGAAAATGATAGCAGAAAATATAAAATATTTTCATTTTAAAGTCCATTAATTTAAATACATGTATAGATAAATGTTTAAAGATTAAAGTGTATAGTAATGGAAAAAAGGAGTATAATTAATAAAAGCAAAGTTTTTAAAACCAGAAACAAATAATTCAGTAGGCTCAGTAAAATCTTTGGCTAAGAAGAAAAGATTACATCGTCGATGTACAATATATTTGTTAACATATCATATCTTACTATAAAATAATATTCCTAAAATGAATTTTTGTACAACTTGAAAGTTTTCAACAAAGGTTGCCAAACACTATAAAAAAATTTGAAGGAAGCATCCACTTCTGGCACCTACCTGTAAGAAACTGATGGGGAATTTGGGATGTTCTTCTGTTGTAATCCATAATCTGAACTCTTCATGAATCGTTTCCGTTTCCATGATAACGTCAAGACTTTCAACAACGTAATCCAAACTCAAGTGACAATTCTGTAGCAACAACCATCCACCATTTTGTACACTCAATGTCAGCAGACGTCTAGCATGCACCTCTTGACCTTGACCCATAGAAATGGCGCGGATTTCTGAAAAATAATCCGAAGTTGTATAGAATTTATTATAAATTGTCTTGTCATCATCGGTATGTTTCTACAGCTGCATTTATAAATTATGAACTATAGTGCATGTATTGAATTTAAGATTTGAGTATTATTTTCAGACTTCTGCCTAAAATGAAACAAGAATCTATTTTATTATTTAAAAGCTACAGATACATTTTCTAAAAAGGTACATATACAAAAAAGGTACATGTACATTGATTTGCAGTCCAAACTGGTAAAATGTTTTTATTGCTAAGTCATTTCAGACTTCTGGTAAGATTTCTTTTTTATTACCATATTTTCTCACCATTAAGACAGACTTATAAGACGGGGTCCTTATTTTTACACAAAAAAGGCACTTTTGCTAAGACCCTCTTATATATATATAAAACAGGGAATTTTAAAATGAAATATACTACTGCACCTCAGTTTTTTTTAATGGAAAATTGTCAAAAGTCATTTCATATTTTAGTCAAGATAGGGTCTGTGTCATGTTTCTTTGCATGAGGTGACAGTAGTTATTGGTCTTCAGATTTACCTTAAAAAGTAAATCTTCAAGTTTATCTCATCTTAAGCCTTTAAATGTTTAAATGTATTAACTTAATAATAATTGTGACTGAGAAAAAAGTACATGTATTAAAAGACCAATAAACCAGTTACCTTTGTAACAAGTAAATGAATATTGACAAAAAAAATGAAGAATAATTCTTACCAATTTTATGTTTCTTGGCCAATGCTTCAATATTATTGGTAGGATCAGACCCAAGTGAGAGCAGACATACCAGTGGTGAGCGAGTATGACTTTCATACCACATCTTTTCAAGGTCAAGGATTACACCTTCAGCATACTTTTCTCCAAGGGTATCAGCAATGAATTTTCTAGCCTGTGGGAGAGTACGGTCAGGACACCAAGATCGCACTAGAAGCAGACGACGAAACACGTCCAGTGAGTTGTTGTAACCATCTGGAATTACCTCCTCCTCAGGGGCATCCTTGTCAAACCATTGCTTCCATTGTTTCTCATTTCTCTGAACCTGTATATATCAATAACAAACCAACAATGATGACAAGTGAAAAATAGATGTAACTTACGTCTATATCAATGTTTATGCAACATAAAAATACTACAAATATGTTTGACATCAGTTTGGAATTTTAAGTATTTCCAGTTTAAGTGACAATTCCTTTCATGGTTAATTTAAGAGATTCTTTACAGACAAAAAATAATGTGGATGTTTTTTTTTTCTAATTCAGAGTAAAGCAATACAATTACACAATTTTGAAGAGATTATTTATTATATCCATTTTTACTTCAGAAAGGTTCAAGAGAAAAGAAAAATATATATGACATACCTGATCTATGATTCCAGAAAACTGGTGAAGATTACTCAATTCAACCAAGTTAAGCCAAGTCAAGTCCAAGATCCATTTGTGTGGTTTGGGTTGTACCACATTCAAATCAAGAGAGGCACCACCTTAAATATATAGGAACAATTTACTTTTATTGATATCAAAATAGTAATTTGTTTCAAACTGAGTAGAAGCAATAAAAGTGCATAAAAATATCATCATCAAATGTCTCTTTAAAATCCAAATAGCTACATACCTTTAATGAGTGTGAGGAATTCCTCATGTTTGACCTTGCCAGCTGCCATGTCAATTTTCAAGGCCAGCAGTAAGGTGAAGGTCATCTTGTCCTTCTCATACAGACCACGGACAGCGTATTTGAAGACTTCAAATGTCATAAACTCTATAATGTTGGTGATACGCTTCTGTGTGATTGGTGATTTGGTAGACCTATGGAAATATAGAAATTATCATTAACTTTAATTATCATGACTATCAACAATTTTTTTATTTATTGGGTTTTATGTCACTTCACACAGTATAGCTCATTTGGCAAATTTCCAGCTTTACTGGTAGAGGAAGACCCCCGAGTGCCACTTTATGCATCATTTCACGCAAAAACGGGGACAACTAAATGACTGTCAGATCTCTATTAATGATATCTGTGAGTCATGACTGTCAACCTTTCAGTAAAGAATGAAGTAAATGCGGATCCATTACAAAATAATAAAACTACAAGTTATGTTAAAAGTTATATTATCAATTTCATTCAGATATATATAAACTTCACGAAAGTAATCTAACAATATCTATAGACCATAAAATGTACCATAAATAATATCTTATTACAAATGTTTGTGATTCTGATGAGACATTGAAAATGTAACATACCTTGCCATAGAAAGGTCAAAGAGTCCGAGGAACTGTTTCAGTGACGTCTGGTACATACAGTTCACCATGCTCATCTCTGTGATGAGGAAATACAAGATACTACCACGTGTAGCTACAGGTCGGAACTCTTCACGAGCCAGCGTTATCTTAGACTGTGTCTCATCAGCTGTTTGTAACTTCTGCTGCACATCCTGTGATGTTGCCTTGGTTACACGGAGCACATTTATCAAATCTTCATCATCAACAAGTGACCCTTGTGTACTTGTCAGACGGAACAACAAGTTGTCTTCTAGCTCCTTCATCTTTTTCTTATTGGCTGTTACATCTTCCATAAGTTTCACTCTTTCTGACTCCAGTTCCTGAATAAAACAAAAAGGTTGTTCATTAAGGTTAAATTGAAAGCCATGCAAAGCTGGTTTAAGTATAACAGCAGCTTTGACAATTTCCAAATAGCAGATTCCTAAAGAAAACACCTTAACTTAAAAAGTTTCAACTTTAATAAACCTTTTATAATGAGTATGTTTGGAAATAAAATTGAAATCTTTGAGAAGTCTTTGTTTTTCTCAATAATCGGACGAATAATCATAATGTTATCTTACATGGTCAACATTTTCTGCAAAAGCATATAACTAAAATCGCAAAGAATAAATTAAACATGTGTATTAACTTACAGCTTTCTCAGTAAGGATTACACGGCCTAGCAACTGGTCCTCAAGTCCCTTCATTGTGACAGCAAAGTCAATGATAGATGTCCTCGCATAGATTTCTGGTGTGTACATTGGGTTTGATAGCTTCGTTGTAATATACAGACTAAATCCTTTCATGATGTCACATTCCTTGTCACCGACCTTTACTTTCAAGGTCGAACCTACTTTGATAAAGTTCTTTTCAAGAATGTTATCCAGAGCTGGATCTAACTCCTCGGCAATGTCCTCAATCATGAGTGGACGTCCCAATGACATGGCGTCCTCAAGATGTTGTCGGAAATACTTGTGGTTGAGGGCAGTCAGCTGATAAAAAGGGAAAAACATATCTAAATTAGATCTTGATTTGAGTACTAGACCTACCTCCTTTATTTGCCTTGGAAGATGATTTAGTTTTTAAATTATTTCATCTTTGAGATTATTATAAAACTCATTAAAATAACAAATTCTCTTTCACTGGTGATTGTTTTCTATGGAAGAAATATTGTCAAATTCTCTTACATGCCATTCAGTGGTAGCAACAACTTATATCTAGATTGCAATTCTGCAGAAGTACTTTATCTTTTTATCTTTTAATTTCACTTCATCAATAACAACTTAACTTAGACACAAATCAAGTTCTTCTGAGGACTAATAATTTTCGTACATGCAGTAACCCGAGTATTATCATCTACTTTCCCTAACTAAGCTGTATAGCTTCTAAACATGAAAAAATTCAGTCTTCCCTTGCAGAATTGTGAACTATTTCATGTGAAGGGCAAGCAATTTAAGTTCAGTGACCACTTGCTCACAGTAGTCACCTGCACATATAAGACAACAATGTTGTACCTGTAATTCACTATGGGCTTCTCGAGACTTGATCCAGTTCTTGCCTTGACCTTGTGGATCAATGAGTAAAGGATAGCGTGAGGCTTTTGTCACAACAATACCGTTCTGTGTGGACAGCTCGTCATTTGGTAAACCTTGTAAATTCCACTCAGCAATCTGACAAAAATGATAAAGTCATGTTATGATTAGAGTTTTTTTTTATAATTAGTATATAACAAATGATAAAGTCATACTATAATAAAAGAGTATTTTATAATTAAAATATACTTTCATACACAAGATATCTAGTTACAGAAAAAACTTGTGGAATAAAGCAACATATTAGTGCTCAAGATCACTTTACAAGTGTTTTTCACAACATCTATTTGGCTTTTCTCAAAAAAAGTTCTATTTGGAGCGAAAACTTTGCACTTTAATTGAACAAATGAAAAACTAATATGCTGTATTAAGGTGAAGGGTTTCTAACATGCAGCCTTTATTTAGAGGTGATCAATTAGAGATGATCAATTTATAAAGTTGATCAATATAAAGTTTATCAATTTAGATGTGATCAATTTAGAGGTAATGAAAAACAAAGAAATAATTTTAGTAAAAACTTACGGTGTTTGGATCTACCAACATATCAATAGTGTTGAGATTTAATGTGAAAGGTATCTTTCTCGTCTTCAGTTCCTTAAACCAGTTCTTGAAGAGGATGGCTCGGAAATCTTGGTTAAATGGTCCACAGTAAGACAAGAAAGCTGTACATACCAATACATCACCAACAAGTCTGGAAAATAATTATTATATTACCAGAACATAAGAATTAATTGGATTGCTTGATTTCTAAAATAAAAAAAAAGTCTTTAAGATATCAGACATAGAAAGGGAACAAAATTATAAATCTAAAAAAGAATGATAAGAAACCAATATGGCTAAAGTTCAGATATACTTAGGTTATTTCTTGCATGTAGATCTGATTGCCACTGT